AGAGAGAGAGAGAGAGAGAGAGAGAGAGAGAGAGAGAGAGAGAGAGAGAGAGAGAGAGAGAGGAGGAGAGATTCTATAAAAGCGCATAGCAGCCAGTTTCAACATAAGGTTTGATAATATTACAAGCTAGGATCTATGCAGGCTGGTGTGTACAACTTAACCTGCGTGCAATAGGACTTCATAACGTATTGCTCCCTCTATCTTACACAGATGCACGAGCACCACGGCATGCGCATACACAACCCAACAGGTGGCAGCAGCCCACGCTCGAGCGTCTACAGTTGCCATGGCGACGGCAACAGCTCGTCGGAGGAGTATGGTACGACAGAAGGCAAGTCACGGCGTGTTCGCGGTATGTCTCTGTCGTCGTCTGCGCTCTGGGGCGGGGCGGGGCGGGTGAGGCAGGGCAGGGTGGGTTTTGAGGGGTGGGGCAGGTGGGGTGGGCGTGGTGGGGCGGGGCAGGGTGGGGGTGGGACACTGTTCCTAACACAGTCACTACTATATAAGTCACATGAGCCACCACACAAACTATCTAGAGAACTTTGAGAAGCCTAAGAATGCCTAAAACATGACTCCCCATCTTACGCCCCAGAGGACTTGGTATCAAAATCCATAATCGATTTACATAAAAAAATTCGAAAAAGTGATGAGAATCAGAGATATCATCGCTACTATACAAGTTATCCTTTATTAACATACATGTATTATACACACAGTACTTGGGTCCAACCGATGATCGATTACGAAATTACAACCGATTGACAACACTAGTGATTCTACGACCGGGGGGTCGCAGGCATGCTGGCTGGGATAGAGGGAGGTTACACTTCAGTGGGCGACGCGTGTTTTCTTTCGTTGCTTGCTCGGTGCTACCACGCGCTAGGCTGGTTCATATTTCAGGAAAAGAAGGAAAGTCCAGTAGGCATTTTTGAGGAAAAACGGCCAAATAACTTTTGGTTTTTCGTGCTGAATACGAATAATTTCTTTGGACATTTCAATTTTGCCTAATTATGCCTACTGGACTTTTTACAGGCACATTTCTGGATATTTGTGCCAGACTATGCGCTCAGCACGTGCGCTATATATAACATGCTTGCTGCATTTGTTCAGTTTTACCCTCGCTCGCCTGCTGCCGCCTCCGCTTTGCTGTTTTTCAGTTCTCGCTACAGTGCATTCCTTTTTTGTTTGTGTTTCAGAATTTACTGCAATATATAATGATATTGAGAATGAGTTTGGCAAATACTGCACTTTGCCAGGTAGAAACAGTGATGTTTCGCGGCAACTAAGGGCCCAGAGGCCTTGCTCTTACTCAGGTTAGTATTCATGCCTGTTCGGGGCCTCGAGGCCCTGCCTCCTTCTCAGGTTACCGTAGTTATGCTTGGTTGATGCCTGAGTTGGCAACTCTTTCTCAGTTTATAGTATTTAGGCTTGCTTAGTGCCTCGGGTGATTTCTCTTTCTTAGGTTAGTATTTGTTCGGAATCTTTGTCTTTCTTATTTGAAGCTTTGTATCCAGGGTCGTGGCTAGCAGGGTAAGGGCACAGTTACTCCCAAAAACCAACGTAGATACCATTATATGGTTGAAGGCAAACTTCGATGGTCTACTGCCAAAGGATACAACCCGCACGTGGCTTTGCCACCCCTGTAGCTACACCCGTGGTATCTGCACTCTGATTCTTGTCTGTACATTTAGTGGCTGATGGTGCGCATAGCAACCTACGCTCTCACTCCATGGTTTTCGCTGTCGATGCTTGCATGCTCTCACTAACTGTCTCAGTCGCGCTTACTCACTCACTCACTCGTTTCTTGCTGTCGCGCATATATACAGTTATTGCTTGGTTGCGGCATGTCATAATTGTCATAGTTGCAGAGACTTCCTATCACAGAGATATCTCAGTTCATATACCGCTCACAGCATTAGTAAATTCGCCGTGTCAGCCATTTTGGAGAGGTAAAAACGCAAGTAGTTGCAGCCGAATGACATATTGCTATTGTAGCGCATCCTTTGTGGCACTCGGCTGCTTAAACTCAGCAAGGATATGCTGCCAGACTTACATTTCTTCAGGTCCACGAGTTCTCATAATACTGGGTGTAAATGTCTTCATTATCAACCCCACCATGGACTGTGTCATGGTAAACCTGGGATCTACACTAGCAAATTGGTTGGAAGCGTAAACATATGCTTCCAAGATGAAAGAGAATTAGGACGTCTCTGTGATTAAAGGTCTCAATTAGTCGTAGTGCAGTGTAGTGAGTATAGTTTGTGGCTGTATCACTCGTCAGATAACTTCTGACCTTTATTGTCGCTTATAATACACAGATTATATGTTTTATAAAAGATAAAAAAGGTCGCTTTAAACATTACAGCCACTAGCTAAACTGAAAAATAAGTCTGAGTGTTAGCAAATATATATATATACATAATACTATATATATATATATATATATGTATATATTCGTCATGATAACAGGTGGGGTATTGTAGTATGTTGGGCTCCCTCACGTTGCATACTCACACAACTGCAGGCGACACACAATGCTGAGGCAGGCTAACATGCAGAAGCACCACCTGGTGGCCAACCTGTGTACGTACTATAGTCTACTCTCTATACCTTCTTCCGACTAGACTTCCACAGTGGCCCTTATTGTTTCATTCGTCAGATGACGAAATGTCCTCGATTACGTCATTTTGGCCACAAATTATTCTCGTGTTACCATCTGACACGGTGGGTGTGATGCGAGACATGTGCGTGAGATATGGGAGATATGTATGTGAGAAATGCGAGATATCATATGTGCGTGAGATATGCGAGATATGTATGCGTGACATGCGAGATATGTGCGTGAGATATGCGAGATATCATATGTGCGTGAGATATGCGAGATATGTATGCGTGACATGCGAGATATTTGTGCGTGAGATATGCGAGAAATGTATGTGAGATATGCGACAGGGTTCCAACAGCCCTTGGAAAGTAATATGTACTGTAACTATAGTGTATGGCTGACTCGATGATGACCGCAAGGTCCTTTCGCCGTACCCGTGCATTATATTAACAAAGTTATAACTGTTTAATTTTTCCACTGTCTGATTTATCCTCGTAATTAGCACAAATAAAAATCTTGAAAGCTTGAAATCTTGGATTGCTCATTGAATTAGGGTGTAAAACAACTATTTTTACTTTATATAAGAATCTAAGGTATATATGATTACTCTAAAATGCTAAACCTAATTGTCACAGATTGTCCTTGAAAAAAACATGTCATTAAAAAGTCTTTGAAAAAATAATTCACACTTTTGTGGGAAGCCTATACTGAGTACCTAGCAGTAATAAATATAATGCTAGGTAAACTTTACACGTGCGTTCGTAATATGCTTTGCATACATGTCTGCAATACGTAATTTACCTTTACACAAGTTAGAAAATATTTTAGCAAAGAATTAACGGGGATTCGAACCCCAGTTTCATAATTGAAAGGCTAGAGCTCTAACTAGATGTACTAACGAGACACTCGTGTTGAACCAGGTGGTTTTACATAGATACATATATGCACATTACGGACGCGACCTTTCCCTCTGTCACTTCCTTACTCCCCTCTCGCCGATAGTATCGCCCATGACCAGTCAAGCATGGAAAAACATTCACGAGCAAATGGCCGTATTTCAGCCTGAACTTTTTCACTCCCAAAAGCACAAAATGTGGATTTACGGCTATAATACGCGTTTTTAGAATCACATAATCACACATACACACCCACTAACGGATGCGCACACGCGGGTATAGTCGTACGCACGCGTGCGCGTGTATTTTAGGCGTAAATTCACATTTTGTGCCTCAGGGAGTGAAAATGTTGGAGCCGAAATACGGTCATTTTGCTGCAAAAGTTTTTCAA